AAAGTTGAAGAGAAATTATATCTGGGGGTACGCCAACAAAAAAGGTTCAATACCACTGGCCTAGATCATGCTGCCATCTGTTGGTAGTCGTGAGGAACGAATCATTTTACTCCAGAACGGCGTACCGGATATTCATTAAATTTAGTATGGTGGTTACGCCATCGGAGACTGGTTCGTATTAATGCTTCGTAATTTCCTACAATGGGGAAAACCAATGTGACGGATGCTCAAAGTCGTGAGATGAGACGACGCCATTAATCATGATCCTTTGCGCGGAACGGTGACGTCATCACATTGTAACCTAACCTAACTTCGGATGTTATTTCTGCCTTTAACTGCGCCGTTGCGTTGGATTTGCTCTTGGTTGCCCCCCCCTCCCCCCCCTACGCGGTTCTTCGTGGTGACATCAACATTTTATGAAAGAACCACGCAATTAATTAATCGAGAAAGACTGGAAAGATTTTCGTTAATATTTGGAAAATATTGTCATCTTATGTTACGTCATGATGGATCTTGTTTTAACAAAAGAGACGTTTTATAACGTTAAGGCAGTGACCTTGGACACCGCTGTAAAGTTTGTTTATGTTGCTACATTTCTCATTCCCTTTATCTGGACGACTTTACCAATTTTTATGAAATTTAATAAGGCCTTTGTGCGATTAGTGCCTAGCCTAACAACGTATTCCTACACACGTGACGGATTTTCGCATCGTGAGGTGTTAGGATGATGATACCATTGAAAATGATCTCGTCATTATGCGTGATGACGTCATCGTCCATTGCCAATGATGATACAGACTTCTTCAGTAACATTTGTGCATGTTAATCAGACCCTTCGATCCGTGCAGTTTCTTATCAGCTGTAGACTCCCTCGATACGTCTCAGTGGATTATTCTGTTGAAGCTTTTTGAAGCCCTCGATACGTGGATTGAAAGATTTCTTCTGTAGAAACATTTCTAAGAAGCTGGGTTGCTTAATCGAGGGGACAGTGTAATATGTAATTTTGATTTCATCAGTTGCTGTGGGGAAACAAGTATTGGTATAATAAAGTTTCGCTACCCGAGAAGCAATCATGGCCACCCCCC